TTGAGATTGGACTACACCGTACATAGCAAAAAATTATTTGTGAAAATAATATGCTATATTTTTAGAATAAAATTTACCTACAGGGTGCTCGATAAAACAAAATTATTTAACAATTAGGTATTAAAAACAAAATTTCGCAATAAAAATTTTTCGGTGCCTATTAACTAGGAAAATATAGTCATCTCCTAAGTCATCGAATATTTTTAAATTTTCTTTTCTTTTAAAGGGACAATTATATGCGAACGTAGAAATGATAGGTACGCTTTTAATAATTTCACGACCTTAAACTAATTTTTTAAATTAGTGGCAGTATTCCAACAAGGTAAATTCGAGCGTAAATTAAGACAACTCCCATTTTTGTTTCACAATAATGTAATAATGCAAATAATTTTAATTCGTCACTTTCAGGTATAGATAATTTCATATCAATTGAATGGAATGTTTATCTAGAATTAATAATAAAATAAAAAGGGACTTTCCATTAAAAAACGTGGTTTTTTAAAAAAAAAAAAAGAAATATGTTTATAATTTGTGAAGACCCAGTTGTGAAAAAGTATGTTTTTTATTCGAATAACAAGTGTTTATTATAAGTATCCATCAAATTTGATCACTTTTCATCCAGGTAATAGCCACGTCTTAAAATGCAAATATTCCCAAAACAATCGACAACGACCATACACATTGGCCAATAAACTGACCTTATTTTTCAAAAAGGAATCTCTTATTTTGAAAATAAAAGTGGGAATTGCCATCGATTGCCATCCAAAGTAAGGAGGTAATATGGTAACTACTTTCGTTATAAACGGAAGGGTTAGAATATTCGCACTTTTGTGTTTAAATACCTTGGCATAACATTAGATGAAAAATTTACTTTTGAACATCATATTTCAGAATTACATTTTAAACTTAGATCCTCAATTAGAAAATTTTACTTCTTAAGGAATTTTTGCGGAACGACCTTACTACGAAATCTTTACTTTGCCTTAATAAACTCAAAACTACAGTATGGTTTAGTTTGCTGGGAAAAAAAACCAAAAACAGAAAGCTCGTTTTCTCTATATCTCGAACGAGATCTCGGAATTAAAAATCTCGCCAATACAACAGTTAAGTATTTATATTCAAAGTTCTAAGGACTTTTTATACAAGAAGCGGTAATAGAGGAAATTACAGCCCTAAGTATATTTCAAGAAGCATCACTAACTCCCAAAAGTAAACAAAACCCTATTTAGACACTCTTTTCAATATTTAGGACTCAAATACTTTAACCAACTGCTTGTCAATTCGGTTGATGAAGGCTTCCATTTTATATATTGGGTTTTAATTAATAAATATTTGACCTTGTGGTAGCTAATATATATTTTATTTTTGGGTCTAAAGCGATCGATTTCGGTAATTTTCCATTGTCAGGCTTGCGTTATTTGGATGCTTAATAATTAGTTCTATTGTTAATGTAATGGTGGTGCGTGATGTGGGATTGGTGGCTGTGATTTTTAAAAGATGTGGTCTCGGATGTGGTGAATGATTTGGGTTTGTCTCGTGGTTATAAAGTTGCCTGTCAATATCAAAAAACGTCCCACCCTAAAACACGCAATATTTGGCTTTATTCTATTCAAAACATAAATACATTAAACCGAGCATTAAACATAGTGTTTTCCTAACTCTTTCCAATCAATCTCGTAACATTTCACAACCGTTGACTAATCACTAAGTAAAATAATCAGTAACTAATAATTGAACTACTCAAACATTTAGTCTTAATTTTAGACACAAAACCGAGCTCAAAACACGATGCCTACCCACATTATAGAAGGCTGTTTTTACCTCGGATTTTTTTTTTATTATGTTCTTACACAGATAGAGCTATTTTTTTATGTAATGCTAGCTTTCTGTAAATCACTTCCATAATTTTTGGAGAAATAAATTTCATTATTTCATATTTTTTAAAAAAGAAACTATACCCAAATTTCCAAGAGCGTGTCATTTTTACGTTAACATATAAGGGTAATTTCCTTTAAAAAAAAACATGTGTTATGTATTCAAAAGAAAACAAAATTTTAACTCAAAACAACTTAAGTATGTCACGAAGAAAAAATCGAGGAAAAAATTAAATTCAATTTAAACAAGAAAATGTTTGTATTGTATTAAATATAATATAAATTCAACCGCGTAATGAAATATTAATTATAATATTAATCATATCACAATAGTAAAGTATAAATCATTAAAGTATGTAATATTCTAATTTTAGGAAATGCTTCGCTAGTAGCCCTAGAACTACAAGCACTTCACAATCGCGTGGTGTGTGAGCTGCATTTTAAGGACACCGATTTTGTGAATCAATCAAAAACGCATTTAACTCGAACTGCAGTGCCCAGGGCTTTTTCTGAAATGGAAACGAGAAGAGCTAGTCGTAACAATACCTACACGACAATACCCTCCTGCAATCCCAGATGTGACGAGGAACAGATCACCTACACCTTCCACGTCCACTGAAGGGCAAGTTGTTTCTCCAAATACAAGGAAGTATCTGGAAGATATTACCAACTTAGATGAAAAGTCTTCCGGTTGTTCCCCCAAAACAAAAAGATTAAGAAGAACAATTTCCAGTCAGCGAAGATTATTGCACAATAAACGATCACTTATTTCAAAGATGAAAAAGAAATCTGTTGAAACAAAACTTCAATTGAAGAGGAGATTGTCCATGGAACACATGATTAAATCCCATCAATATACCTCTCAGTCGTCACAGACCTTAGTAGAAATGCAGGTGCTGCACAAACAGAATACCCCTTGGACGAAAAATGAGAAAGAGTTCGCAATACTATCCTATTATAAATCTCCGAAGGCGTATAAATATTGGAGAAACTCTCTAAAAATTGTGTTACCCAGTCTTACCACCTTACGGACTTGGATAGGAACATCTAAATGTCGTCCTGGGTTCAATGCCAAATTCTTTAACGATTTGAAGATGAAGGTGCGAGTTTTGTCAAGAGTGGAAAAGTGTTGTACCATCGTCTTCGACGAAATGAAAATAAAAAAGTTTCTAGAGTATTCGGAATACTTAGACCTTATTGAAGGATTTCAAGACTTGGGAACTTGGGCCCGAGGATTATATTCAACGTGGAAAATGCCGTTGGCATATTTTGTTTGTGGTTCTAACATGCAGCACAACACCCTGAAAAATGTAATTGTAGAGTGTGTTATCAAAGTAGCCGAGACAGGTTTAGATGTGTGTGCTGTAGTGTGTGACCAAGGTTCAAATAACTTGGCAGCCATAAAAAGTTTATGTCCTTCGGTTGAAGAGCCGTATTTTTTTGTGAACGACAAAAAAATATTTTGTATATTCGATGTACCGCATCTTTTTAAAAACATCAGGAATAACTTCCTTGACCACGATTTGATGTTTAACGGGGAGCGGGTATCTTTTACGGACATAAGAAGGGTTTATGAAATTGACAGCAAAAGTACCACCGCCAGAAGCTTAACAAAAATTACACCACAACATTTGTATCCAGGGCCGTTCCAAAAAATGTCTTGCAAGTTGGCATTGCAAATTTTTAGTAACAATGTGACTGCCGCTATACACACAGTATTGTCAACCAATGAATTAAATACCGAGACTGCAAAATCAACAGCAAACTTTCTACAGTATATGAACAATTTATTTGATGTGTTAAATAGCAAGACATTATATACCAGCAATCCCTATTGCTGCGCAATATCTGAAGAACGACCGTTTGTTAAAGACGTTCTTCTCAAAGGGCAGAAAGACATTAAAAATTTGTATAAACTTACTTCTAAAGGACCTACGCAACCACCATCTTTCCAAGGAATTGTGTGGACAATAAATGCCATTGTGGCCCTCTATAATCAGCAGCGTGACAGAGGATTTCAGTATTTAATCACCTATAGGTTAAATCAAGACGTCATAGAAAATGCGTTTGCGCAGTATAGACAGTGAGGGGGCTACAACGTTAACCCTACAGTGAGAACGTTTCGGACCACATTCCGACTAAGTACCAAGGCGAATTTATTGAAACCGTCTGATGAAAGTAATTGTGAATATGGTAACGAAGAAGTTCTCCCTGAACAATTACCATCAACATCACACAGTGAAGAGTATGAGAAAGACATGATGTCCACACCTAATTCTTCGACCAATAAATCCCCATCTTCAATGGAAGTCGTAGATCAAGGAGGGTCACCCTCGGGGTCACTGGATACAACTTTACCCCCAACTACACTACAAGAGTGCTCCGTTGTGTATTTCTCTGGATATCTTGCCAAAGTGTGTATTGAAAAGTTTAAGTGTGAAATGTGCGTTAACGTTTTAACAACCCCAAACAGTCAACTTTGTGATACAAAAGAACTTCTTATTTTGTATAGGACATATCCATCATCTTATGTTATGTCAAGTTTAACTTCTCCATCCGATAGACTAGTGGAAATTGTGTTCTCTGCTACTAATATTGTTAAAAAAGTGTTTGATAAAAGACCTGAAAGGAAGTGCATATCACAGTATTTATTTAAAACAATCAAGAGTAAAACCGAATGTAATTTAATCGCCAAAACAGAAGGCTGTGAAAGCCATATTGATTTTTTGATAAAAAAATTAATCAAATGTAAATTATTTAAGGAATGCAAGTTTTTAAATTTAGCAGAAATTCAGGGACGCCATAGTAATTTAAAAAAACTGAACATATTAAGAAATGTTTAATAAAATTACAATTTTTTAATTTATTATTTCATTGCTTAGGGCACTGAATTAAAGTTCACCAAAGTACATACCTACGAAAATAATAATTATTTGGCAATTTTGTAAAGTGACCGGATTAAGTAAATAAAATCCTAAACAATAAACCGTGATAATTACAGTATAAAAAGCATGTTCATCTTCATGAAAAACTCACTAAATTTATGTCTAAATTTATTTCATTTCTCATGCTTTCCTTTTTTTGAACACCATAAAAACCCGTCATTTCGCATTTTATTACCGTGTAATGGGGTGAAATTGATTTCATGGGGTGACTTTGATAACTATATCGAAAATATGGGTATTTGAATTTGGCGCGCGCATTGCTGCGCGAATGTAAAATCTAACTGTCATATCTTGTTTACCGCCAGTGACTGAAGGAAAGTTGTGCGTGTTCGCGCTTTTCAAGAGCGAGTTGTTCCTGTAATAGGCTGTGAAATCGGTAAGTACTTTACACGATGATTTTAAACTTCTCAAAATTTGTGCCACATTTCAGTTTTGAAATGGGTTAGATCAGTTCCTTTAATCATTTCATGTTTCTTCATAACCTATACCATGATTTACTGCGCTTTTACATTTTGATCGTTATTCCTTTGAACATAATTTAAACGTATACAAGACGGGGTGAAATTGATCACAACAACGGGGTGTTTTTGATCAGTGATTTGGTAGATGTAAAAATTTCTTGGCATTATCCCGAACATTTTTTTAAATATTAGCTTAAAGATTTTGTTACAGATACATAATGCCACGATCCTATAAAAGGAAATTGGGTGCGCGTAGATACCGAGACTATGACGATCAATCTGTTGAAGGTGCTTTACAAAGAGTAATCGATGATGGATGGAGTTTAAGAAAGGCGGCAAAGGAATTCAAAATTCCATATGGTACTTTGAATAATAGGTACCATGGACGTCATATTAAGTGCAATGGCGGACAAACGATATTTAATTTGGTTGAAGAACGGTCCATTCTAAAGTGTGCCGGTGTTTGCGGTGAATGGGGGTTTCCCCTTAACTTATCAGACTTAAGGCATATGGCTAAAAATTTGTTGGACATGCAGGGGCGTTCAGTCCGACAATTTAATAACAACTTACCTGGCGTGGACTGGGTGCACTCACTTTTAACAAGACATAAAAAGGACATTACCCAACGGCTTGCTGCTAATATTAAAAGAGCACGTGCTGATGTATCTCGAGAAATTTTAATAGAGTATTTTAATAATCTTGAAAACACATTAAAAAATGTTCCTGCATGTAACGTGTACAACTACGACGAGACTAATTTAGTCGACGACCCTGGACGCAAGAAACTTTTGTATCGTCGTGGAGTAAAATATCCTGAGAGGGTGTGCAACTACACTAAATCGGCTACTACCATAATGATGTGTGGCTCAGCATCAGGGGTCCTTTTACCCCCCTATATAATTTATCGTTCCGAAAAAATGTGGAACCAATGGACCGAAAATGGTCCAAAATCATCTCCTTGTTGCAGTGAAAGATGCTGTGCCAGCGGTTCCCGTTACAACAGAACAAGCCATGGTTGGATGGATGCGGAAACGTTTACCGATTGGTTCAAATCCGCATTTTTACCGCACGCGAAGCGGCTTGAAGGTCGAAAAGTTTTAATAGGCGATAATCTCGCATCCCACTTTACGGACGAAGTAATAAATCTGTGTGAAACTAATAACATCGGTTTTGTATGTCTACCTAAGAACGCGACACATTTATGCCAACCATTAGATGTGGGTTTTTTTAGACCCTTCAAAATGGCTTGGAGAGACGTTCTCCTTAGATGGAAAAACGCACATCCGTCCCTTTCTTCCATTGATAAGAGGGATTTTCCACATTTGCTGCAATCAACGTTGGTGGAAATGGATAACAAGAAATCAAAGGAAAATGATGAGCAAAATGCGATTACCAGAAGTCTTATATCATCATTTGATGCAACGGGTATTGCACCATTCAACAGAAATCGCGTGCTGGACAAATTGCCAAGAGATAATGTAGAAGAAGGTGAAATACAAAATGCTCTTGTAAATTATTTGAAAGAGAAGAGATTTACGAACACACCCTCTAGACGTACAAACAAGCGCACAAGATTAGTTGTGGAGCCGGGAAAAAGTGTAACCGCTAAACGTTCAAGTAGCAGCAGTTCTGAGAGTGATGTGGATGGGCCTGTGACTAATGACAATTCCGAAGAAGACATTGATGTTGATGATCCTTTCTTCATATTACAAGAAAATGAAGAAACAGAATACTTAGAGGTCAACAAAGATGAAATAAAAAAAGGAACTTATGTATTGGTAAAAGTGCTTGGTGGGATGCGTAAAACGGTAAATTATCGATATGTTGCGATTGTTCAAAATGTATTGGATGATGAACTTGAGGTGGTAGGCATGAAATCTGTGGATTGCGCAAAATTAACTTTTAGAGTGGAAGAAAATGACGAATTTACTGTAGACTTGGAAGACATTATCGCCATTTTACCAGAACCAACTGTTGATACTAGCAAGGACATAGTGCAATACGTGTTTAAAAAAGTCGTAGATGTCAAAGAGATTTAATTTAGATTATGTTTTAAAGCGTTATAAATGAGTTTACTTTTATTTTATGTATTATACTTCCAAAGATTTGATTTAATAAACATTTGTTTGCATCATGGTCAATTTCGCCCCTATGAACAATTTCCCCCCTAAACACAAAAATTGAAATAACTTTTTAACCAGTGCATGAACTTCAGTCGGGGTTAAATTGTTCACCTTTAAATGCAATTCCCCATGTATCTACGTTAACATCGCGATACTGATCAAAGTGACCCCAAACCATGTATGAAGTTGATCATTGCATTTATTGCCATTATTTACCAAACAAAAAGCGTTTTTTGTTCTTCTATTGATTGAAATATTATCCTAACACGAGTGGGCTATGATATAAATAAAGAAACAGTAAACAAAGTATTGTCGTAAATAAATACAGCGGCTTAAAGCTTTCAACTGATCAATTTAACCCCATTCCACGGTATTTAGTACCCAAAAAATAACACCCTTTATTTATTAAAAAACTACAATATACATGACAACCCATTTCGAACTATGAAATAAGGTGATTTTTACCACTAATCAGTGTTTGAAAAAAAAGTCAATATCTAGGAAATTGCTGTAGTATATACCTATACTACAGCAATTTCTTCTGGGGTACCTGAGGGGTAGTTATGGAGCGTAGAAGATTGAAAGAGAGAATACTATGACCTATATGTATCAGTTGAAAAATACCCTACAAGAAAGATAGGACAGACAGACGGAAAACAGCGCATTGCTTTTGGAATTTTAAAGTGGGGTAAAGTAGGGTGAAACAAATTTTTTTAATTTTTTTTTGTCATTAAATAAAATATTTCTGGCTCTCCTTCTACAACGCTAATTCTGCGTCTGCGTCTACATTCGTGTGCCCATTTGTAATTTTTTATTGTGGGAAATCGGAGAAATTAAGGAAATTAGGTACTTATAAATTAGCATTTTAGTAAAAATCACTCATGCCGTGGAATTATTGAAACAAAAAATTCGTTCATGCAGCGTACGCAAATGATAAATTCTAATTGACATAGGTAATTTTTCCGATTTCCGAAATTGAAAAATATTAAATGAGGACATGAGCAGATGCAGAATTACCAAGCGCGTTTATACTTTTTCCCTTTCCGAGCTGTTTTCGTCATGGAAAAGATGCTTAATTGTATTGAATTTGTTGTAATTAAGGAAATTGGGAGTAGAAAAACAAGGGATCTAAACTAATTCTAGTCTTGTGCGTGAGGTCAGGGAAGCTGGCAATACTTTGGAAGCAGGATCGCCCAAACCTTATCCTGCCTATGCTGCTATCATCCTGCCTCATCCTGCTTCCTATTTCAGCTCAGCAGCACCAACCGTTTTGGAAATATCAATTTTTGAAGTTTCGTTGCTGACTTCCGTCCCAGCAACACTTTGTAAGCAGGATCGTCCAAACCTTATCCTGCTTGTGCTGCTATGTGTACATGTCATCCTGCTTCATATTTCAGATCAGCAGCACCAACCGTTTTGGAGCTATGAATTTTTGAAGTTTCGTTGCTGACATCCGTCCCTGCAACACTTTGTAAGCAGGATCATCCAAACCTTATCCTGCTTGTGCTGCTATGTGTACATGTCATCCTGCTTCATATTTCAGATCAGCAGCACCAACCGTTTTGGAAATATCAATTTTTGAAGTTTCGTTGCTGACTTCCGTCCCAGCAACACTTTGTAAGCAGGGTCGTCCAAACCTTATCCTGCTTGTGCTGCTATGTGTACATGTCATCCTGCTTCATATTTCAGATCAGCAGCACCAACCGTTTTGGAGCTATGAATTTTTGAAGTTTCGTTACTGACATCCGTCCCTGCAACACTTTGTAAGCAGGATCATCCAAATCTTATCCTGCTTGTGCTGCTATGTGTACATGTCATCCTGCTTCATATTTCAGATCAGCAGCACCAACCGTTTTGGAGATATGAACTTTTGAAATTTTTTTTGTCTGATACATGAAGAATAATAAGTAATGGGAGTTGTACTCAATTTTTGTACCTCTAAACTATCTTGATTCATTTTGAAATCTGAAAGATGATTTATTGTTCATCAAATTTGTATAAGTATACGTACACGCAGATAGGGTTTCGAAGGCAACCTATATTTCTGATACATAAATCAATGTGGAGTATCCGAAAAAAAAACAAAAATCATTCACCGTATGAACACATTTATTGTGCAGACTTTCGTATTGACCCGAAATACCCAATTTGCTCCACATTTTTCAATTAGTGGTTGTACCATCGCAAATTATTCCATTTTTTAAAGCTCCACAATGTATTCTTGTTTAAATGACGTAAACATAAAAACCATGCTATCTGCTAATTCAGTTGTATTTTTGAGGTTTAAAGATTCAAAATTGCACTGCATACGTTAACCTTCAGTGACAATCCCAAGTTAGTGTTGTAACCTGGATCAGTACATTACTTACTTACTCGCGATATAACATTCCATTTATTAACTACATCACACATTACATGTACAATTAACATTTACAAGTACACATGTCATATTGCATCGGCCGACGACCTTACATTTTTCCGCTCTGTCGAGGTTGTCACTCACTTTGCGGCGTTGCCGGGTGTCGCTACTATACAGCAGTTAGTAAAGTAAAATTTGATGCGGCCACTATCTTTAACAGAAAATCGCAAGTTCGTGCTTTAAACCAATAATAACAGATTAAGTTTTCTTATGTAAGCCCATACCGAGGCGTCGGTAACAAATGTTAAACAAAGTAAACAAATGCAGAAATTTGACTAGGTACGGCGAAGGGTAAAATCCTTAAACAATAGAAGTTTACTTACAGCTACAGTATGCACAGCTACATTTTGCTATCCGCCGCGAAAGATAATACCTTACTTATTATCTTTGCCGCCGCCGCCAAGTGTGAGTTTTCCAGTAGGTATTTATAGATCGGATGCAATGTTTTAATTCATAACTAAACGAAATACACACAATAAACAATACTAAAGGAAAGTTTTTATATATTAATAATTTCGGTAGAATCTATAGTAAAATCCGTAGATCGGTAACTATCTTGTCATATCGGTAGATCTACCGAAAATCGGTAGACGGCACATCATCGCAGTGCCTCATGTCCTGTCGGCGGATTATAAAATTGGAGTTCTTTCGCGAATTGTATGTAGGGTTGCCAGATCTCCGGTTTTCGCCCGGAGACTCCGGTTTTGGCACATTGACTCCGGTCTCCGGTTCGGTTCATATAAATCTCCGGGCGGTTAGGTTGCCGATCGTAATTCATAAGTCGTAGCGTAGGTGTAAGGTGTCACTGTCAGTGCATAAGCATAGCGCTAAAGTGCGCCGCAGCGTCGCAACAGTGCAATACGCAACAACAGGTCAGTTCATTTAGTTCAATCCTCACGTCACGTCGTTTCCGTTAGTGGGTGCCTAACCGCGTAAACTTTGTTACACGTGTTACCTTAGTCACTAAGGCTTAGTGTTTGGCGACAACAAATATCTACAAATTACAATTAATATTATTGTATTATGGATCAGGATCCCGGCCCGTCTCGTACACCACCCAAGAAAATGAAGTATTACTGTCATTTCAATGATAAATGGACTCATTTGTATAAATGGTTAGCAAAGGTGAGCTCTTATGAAGCACGCTGTACATTGTGCAACATACAATTTACCATAAAATTTGATGGCGAGAAATCGATAAGGTCCCATATGAATAGTACTAAACATAAGACTAAAGATCATGCTTTTAAGACAAATAAAATTATGACGTCTTTTTTTCCGGAAAAAAATACACCCGAGGAGAAGAAAATAGTTGCCATAGAAATTACAAGTGTTTATCACAATATAATGCATCACCACAGTTATTCTAGTTTAGATTGCGGTAACAAGTTATATCCAGTTTATTTTCCTGATTCGAAATTAGCTTCAAAGGTGCAATGTGGAAGAACGAAGGCAGAAGCAATTGCCAAAAATATTCTACTCCCTTTTGCTATAAAACATTCCATTGGTGGTCTACAAAACGGGGAAGATTATAATGGAATAAATATTCCGTTATTTTTTACCGTAGCTACGGACGCGTCCAATAAAGGTAATAGGAAAATGTTTCCAATTGCTGTAAAATTTTTTTCTGCAAAATTCGGCTTGTGCGACAAATTAATAGATTTTTACGAAGACAGTGATGAAACGGCAAATGCCATTTATATTCAAATGATTCATGTTCTAGATAAAACGAAACTTGATATCAATAATATAATTTGTTTTACTGCCGACAATGCACCAGTGAATTATGGGATTAAAAATTCGGTGTACCTACACAAATTTAAAAGTAAAGAACAATAACATTGTTAAAGGCAATTGCCATTGTCACATTTTACATAATACTGCAAAATATGCATGCAAATTACTAAAATATGATGTGGAAAACCTTATATTGAAAGTGTATAGTGAATTTAGTGTAAGTGCAAAAAAATGTGAAAAACTAAGAGAGTGTTTTAAAGACCGTGACTTAGACTTTCATCAAACACTGAGACATGTACCAACTCGTTGGCTTTCCCTCACAAATTGTTTAGAAAGACTTATTATAAATTGGCCGGCAATTAAAACGTATTTCATTCAGGAAGGTCCGGAAAACGTATCTAGATCAGTTTGGAACTTTGTTAGTGACCAAGAAGATGGCATAAGTGATGACGCAGGTTCAAACTTAAGTATTCCCGAGTGTTACATCTACTTTACCCATCATTTTATGTCTTTGTTCCAAAATGCCATCCTTATTTTAGAAAAGCGAAATATCCTTTGTACTCAGTTACATGATATTATGCTCAATTTAAAGAATGACCTTGAAAGAAGAAAGGAAGACAACTTTTTTGGTGCCAAAGTGATGTTCGCAATGAAGAACTTACTTCCGAACGATAAAACTAAGTTGGAAGACGAATTTAGGGCTGTTTATACAAGAGCATTAAAATATTTACAAGACTGGTATAAATTCGATTCATCACCATTTAAACATCTTAGTCACTTAAATTTGAATAACAATTTAAGTTTAGACGAATTATTGAACATCATAAATATGTTTAAATTACAACATGTAGACATAGACGGTTTATATAATGAGGTAGGTGCGATAAATCAAATTTTGCCAGGTGTACCAAGTACTTTATCAATAGACGAAAAGTGGGTTTATATATTAAGTAAAGGGAATTTCCCAAATATATTTAGAATTGTGCAGCCTATTTTATCTATTTGCATAAGCAATGCTAATGTTGAGCGTATTTTTTCTTTAATGCATATGACATGGACTGACGTTAGAAATAAAATGAACACCGATTTGGTGAAGGCTGAATTAATCATTCGGTCAAACTTCGAAATGAAGTGTAATCAGTTTTACAACTTTATTTTGGAAGATAAAAATAAAACCCTTTTAACAGCGGCCATGAATTCAGCGAAGTATAAATGAATAAAGGTACAGGCTACAAGTACAACACTGTATTAAGAATTAATAAACTGTTCGTTGTTCGTCATGAAAACTAAAAATTTATCTTGCACATCACCCAAAAAAATTACCCCCCCCCCCCCCCCCAATCTCAACACAGCCAGACCTCCGGTTTTCCTAACTCTCACATCTGGCAACCCTAATTGTATGTGTGTTCCGTAGGTGCGTGAAGTTAGCACGACATTGGAAGCACAAACAATTTTTTTTGTGCCAATCGTTTGTGCTTTGTTTGTGCGTGATTGTGCACGAAAAAGTTTTTTGGCACGTCCCACCATTTTTTAGATATGAGGTACCGTGTTTCCGTGCCAACTTCACGCCATTTTGGAAGCACAAACGAACTTAATTATGTCAATCGTTTGTGCCTTGTTTGTGCTTGACTGTGCACACAAAAGTTTTTTGGTACGTCTGCCCATTTTTTAGATATGGGGTACCGTATTTCCGTGCCAACTTCACGCCATTTTGGAAGCACAAACGAATTTTATTGTGTCAATCGTTTGTGCTTTGTTTGTGCTTGATTGTGCACTAAAAAGTTTTTTGGCACGTCTGCTCATTTTTTAGATATGGGGTACCGTGTTTCCGTGCCAACTTCACGCCACTTTGGAAGCACAAACAAATTTTATTGTGTCAATCGTTTGTGCTTTGTTTGTGCACAAAAAAGTTTTTTGGCACGTCTGCCCATTTTTTAGATATGGGGTTCCGTGTTTCCGTGCCAACTTCATGCCGTTTTGGAAGCACAAACGAATTTTAATGTGTCAATCGTTTGGACTTTGTTTGTGCTTGATTGTGCACGAAAAAAACTTGTTGGCACGTTTTACCTTTTTTCAGTTATGAGGTACCGTGTTTCCGTCCCAACTTCACGCCATTTTAAAAGCACAAACCAAACATGTTTATGTCAATCGTTTGTGCTTTGTTTGTGTTTGATTGTGTAGAAAAAAGTTTATTAGGCACGTTCTAACATTTTTTCAAATTCAATAATGACATATGTTTAAAATTTTATTTATATTTACTATAACACATACAATAAATTGGAAATCTTATTTTTTCTATAATACATAATGTCCTACTAAGTATAAAAACTAAATAAATCATTATGATAAAACTTAAATTATAGCATACGTAACTCTAAATAAAAAAAAAATAGATGTAATTTTATAGAACCTTCAAGTCTTAAATCGAATATATTAATAAATGAGGTAGAATAATGGTGTTCGATGAAACTGTTAATTTCTTTTTTTCTAAGTCATTATATACTTCCCAAGTTCCATCCACTCTGCGACTTAGGCATGTATAGTGACCAATTCGTTTATCGAAATCGTCTATTTTTCCAATTGGTGGAATAAAATTTATTGCTGATCGTAACAAATAAGAACTAGAAGAATATTTAAACTTTACAGATAGGGGAATGTCTAATAAAGAAGTTGTACCGCAATCACACGTATCAATAAACAAAATATTAGACAATTCTGTTGTAAAATTGCATTTATTGAACATTAAGCAGTCTTCTGCAGACTGGATAAGATCTTTGAATCCATTTTTTTTAATAATATTAATATTTATTGGTATTGTTTTAGAACATAATGTTTGATGTGTAACATCACATTCTTTACTATCGCATATATTTGTTGTGCAAGTACTGTGGAAATCATCTCCTAGAAAATATTGCAAAACATTTACGGCGTTCATCGCGCACTCCACACGGATAGTATTATTAATTAAAGTGGTTTTTCGAAATTCAAAATTAGAAGATAGGTAAATTTCCCCTCTCAACTTATAAGTATGCAATTTTGTTGTGCCAGTTGCCAACTGTTTTACTATTTCCACTACTTGAGGTGATAACATCTGCTCCATACAAATTTGCACTACATTGCTATCACAATACGTAGTTGTTAACCCCTGTATTACGGAATCTAACGGACAAGTATCCACAAATCTGTATTTTTTCTTATTTAAATTAACACATTTATGTAATAAATTGCCATTAGTTAAAATACCGATTTTAATTTTTTTGCCTTCGGTGACATGCAGTATTTCAGGTGCTGCTGCCCCATAGTACGACTTTCGTTTCTTGACACTAGTACCTAAATTTCGCCAATTTTCGTATGCATCTGTTTCATCTGCAACAAATATTGTATCAAGTGTCATACTTTAATCAATTTTACACATTACGTACCTTTGATTGTCATAATTTGAAGTTCATCCGGTTCATCATTCTTCTTATTTTCACCCAAGTTTTCTTTATCCGAAGCAACAGAAGTTATAGCTACAAATTCCAATAAACAAGCATGGTATTAATAATTTAAGTTTATATTACATACCTTCACTTTTATTTGGTTCCCTTGTGACTTTTTTTTCATCGTCAGTCGCAAATGTGTTTCCAACTTCATCTGCAAGTAACATCAGCATTTAGTGTGTATAATTTATTAAACATGAATACTTTACCTATCTTCATTTTAGCTAGAGTCATTTGTCCTTGAATTGCCTCATAATGGTGTAAAAAAAATTTATCAACTTCCATTGGCGTGTAATAATTCTTAAACGTGCGATTTTTTAAGTCATTGAAATAACTTTCAACAATGGCAGATGATTGAGTAGCAAATCCATACATAAATGTTTTTCTCATAACACCACTCCATAAAACAAAAGTCTTAAATAAAAATCTTAAGTCAGTAGTCACATTTGGGCAATAATGAAAGTTTTCATTGTCTGTTGACATTGTGCATTGTGTTAACGATTTTTCAAATATGGCATCAAACCAAGATAAAATTTCATAATTTGAATATTCTTCGGACGTTGATTGTAAATTATGTTGATTTGCTTCATCTTCTAAATCACTTGATATCTCTAACGTGGGTAAACCAGAAATTAAGCCTTTTAACTTCAATTTTTGTACTTCACATGGAGTTAAGGTACCTTCATTGTCTGCTCCACTATATTCACTATTAGCGATAATTAACAGGCCTTCTAACAATAATGCGACTTCTTCTAAGGTTTCACATTTTATTAATAATATTATGGCTCGTACATAAAATTCATGTAGCAGTCGAGGTTTTTTAATTGAATCCCATCGGCATATAATATTTATTATGTGAGCATAATCTGCTCGTAAATATACCTCAGGCACTTCACAATTTTCATTACTCAGCAATTTATAACATATTTTTAAATAATTACTTAACGACATATTTAAAAATGCCCATGCAACTCCCCCTAAAAGTGCTAATGAATGGTCAGTGACTACCACTTTTGGCAAAATACATCCCGATTTAACCCAAGTCTTTAACCAAAAAGAAATAGAATTTGTGTCGTGTGCTTCTGACAGCATTTGACAAACGGGTATTTGATTTTTTCCTAAATTGATTACCGCAGAATACAAAAATATATGACCTGATAATTTTTGTTGTGGTCTTTGCAATTTTTTAACCAACCCCCCTGTAAGCATCAATCGCCAAAACAGAAACACTTTCAACTTTATTATAATGATTATATAGTTGCAGTTGTTCTATGGTCCAATAATGTAACATAAATTTGTCTAATGAAACTAATTGTATACTAGTCATATATGGAGGAGAATACTTTAAATTTAATAAATTTTCTATAGGACTTTTAAATTTATCTAAATCATTCATTTTTTTGTCGGAAAGTTCTTGCTTACACTTTCTAAGTACATTTAAATTATAAATGGATCTTGAGTTGAATGGTAATTTTTTCTTCTGTTGTTGATAGGCTTCTTCCCTTTGCCAATTTATAGCTAATTTTCCATCGGCCAATTCTTTGCCTACTGTTGCTCGTAAATCGCCTTTTAATTTCCTTTTTTTAATGTTAGTATGCAATTGTTCATTTTTATTGCGTATGACAACGTTTATTTCTAATTCTTCATTTAAAGGTCCTTCTTCATTAATCATTTCTAACTGCGCACCGCATTCGCTGCAACTGCCATATATTCTTAAATATGGTCTTGAAGAAGCAGATATGTAGTGTTTCTTAAACCTCCAGATACAATTTCCTGACACAATAGAACTTAACTTTCTATTAATAATTTCAGTCCATCCAGCCTTTAATTTTACTTCAAACTTATTATTACGATAAAACACTTTTGTAGGTCGGATTTTTTCCCAATCGTCATTATTTACTTTAACCATGTGTTTCTCAAAGCATAGTTCTTCATCTTCAGATGTAGTACTTTCAAGAGAAGGTATTTCTTTATTTTGTTGTGCAATGTTTAAAACTTCATGAGAATTGTATCTATTGCACTTTACAATAGTGTATACGTATTTTGGCGATATTTTATGATGAAGGTATTCAGATACTTTTGACCAGACTAAAGCGGTGGGTCGATTTAAGCTAGATAAAATTTCCTCTTCGTGTGTAAGTAAAGCATCTACTATTTTTGCTTTAGACAACTGACTTTCTTTAGGCATTTTGAACTTACTCTTCAATTCTTGCAAATCCAACCTTTAGAATAAAACAATATTTATACATTTTTTAAAATGCACATATTAATATCCAGGGCGTCCCACAGTTTCGACCTTTATTTCTAGGTTTCTCTTTCTCACACAGGCCGTCGATTAATGAATGTAAAAAAATAGTTAATACAAAAGAAAAATACCTTAAAAGGTAGCACTTAATATTAATTGCATTAGGCCCAGTTGCACCAACTAAATTAAGGCGCACTTAAAGTTAAGTATAGCTTAAAAACCGTGGTAACCATTGTTGAGACAATGGTTGCTATGTATTTTTTAAATTTTATTATGCGAAATTTAAAGAAAACGCAATTTTAAAATTTAAGATGGTAATTACGCCCTCTGGTGATAATTTCCAGAACTTGAAAATATTTTCCAGCGATTATTCATGACCGATTTACCCAATAATTTTTTTTACCCCTAAGTCATACGACGAACAGTTCCCGAGATATGGCCGAGGAACAGTCTTATTGGGTCACCCGGTACATACACTGTGGCAAGTTAACGACGGGATGTAAGTAATTAACATAGAAATTTTCTGCGATTCCTGCTCCCCATTTCAACAGAAAAAATAAAAACACTTCCGAATAGATCATTAAAATTAACATTAGATGACACTAAAAAAGTGTGCCTATGCTTTTTTAGCATTAAAGTTAAATTAAACATTCAACAATTGGTAAAAATTGGTTAGCTTTTATTTACCTACCGCATTTGATACCTTATTTAACGCATGATGACACTTAAATCAAATCAAGTAAGGTAACAAATGCCGTAGGAAAATCACGGCTAACCAATTTTTAACAACTTTTTGTATTCTGTACCTTCACTTTTTATGCCATTAAAGAAGGGCCTAGGTACACCCTTTTAATATTATTAAATGCCCTTGTTAAATGCCTATTTTCATTATATTTCCAACGGCGTTTTTATTTTTTCTTTATATTAAAATAGGGAGCAGGAATCGCCAAAAATGTATTTTCTCATGATATTTCCCTATGTCCCGCTGTCAACTTACCACACTGTATGCGTATGTTTTACTAATATATTTTTTTTATTTGCGCAACATTTTAATTTATAAAATGAATTATTAAAATAATTTAAGTACCTAAGCTGTAAAATTAGAACATCACAGCTGTGACACGCAATAGTAATAAAGTAATAGCTGATCCCTAATTGCTGCTAACTTTGGGTTTTCTTACAAGAAAAACTACACAAACAACAAAACAAACATTCATAATAAGTGAAAAGTAAAATAAATTCGATACTGTTTTGATTTAATAGTAATAAAGTGTACTACATATTACTTCACGGACTCGAGTGCAAAGTTTGGTTTTCGTAAAATAAGTTGAAAACGATTACAAAACAATTCAATTTTCGTACCTACGAACTACCACGCCCTGGATATTAATAATAAGAAATGTTTTTATGCAATACAACTCCTCACTAAGTTTGTTATTATTGGAACTAGGAAGTTGGCTAAATTAGAAAATATTAAGCATTTTTAATGCATTTCTTATTTAAAGAAAAAGACACTATGATCACTTTGTCGTTTGTCTGTTACTCCGCAGATTATCTCTTATTTAATTAATTTATTTCTTATTTAGTTATTTATTATTTAGTCTACTAAAAAGCTGGAAATAGTGTTATTGTATGAATGCCGCTCGAGGGCCTCCAGGAGCAAACCTGCAAATTTCAGGAAGATCGGCCAGTAGCCTCAACAGTGCAATGGAAATGCACTTCAATCTCTCGAATCATTGAGACCTTTCCCATTTTGATTGTTAATTTTCCTATCGCACTTGCCAACAAAAATACTTCATATTTGTTAATTTGCCAAACTTCGTATATTAAACTGACTTACCGATAATTTCCAATGATGTATTCACGTTATCTTGTATCAGTATTTTTTCAAGGTAATATATAATGAATAAATAAAAATACACACGTCTATACTTTTTAAAATAAAAGAAGTCTTTATCATTCGAATTAGTTAAACCTACTGCACAATCTTGTTGCAACAACATACCAATACCAGTATGTACTACCTATAAATTATTACATTTGTCATGTTACTCATGTTTATAGTTTACATTTATTAAGCAAAACAACCCTATAAACGAAGGAGAATGTTTTCAAATTCTGAGTATATGAGGTTTGTTTTAATTGCTCTTGTTACTACAAAACGTCAACGGTCAACTAAATCATAATGTCTATACTAAGAAAAAAGCGGTTTTGGCGTTATTTTATCGTGTCGTATTAAATTATGCTTAGATGCCATGTAAGCCTGCAACTCGTAAAGGAAATATCAAGTTATATTTATAGAGTCGATAATTACTTTGTGTAGGTCCATATTATTCTTCATAAATAAGTAATAAAACTCAATCTACACTAGAAAACGTATTTATTGCTAACGCGTTTCGACAATTTCCATTGTCATTGTCAAAGCAAATTAAATTTTAATTTTGAAACAAGCATATTTGATTTCTTGAAATTTGGAAAATATGTAAGGTGATCTTTGGTATATTGGTAATCATCAAAAATGAAAATGATATACACCCCTACAACCCGTGATAGAACACGTGCGTCAGGCGGCACAGATTAAAAATCATAATCAATCATTATCAATTGTTGTATAAGTGCAATGTTATGAATATACAACATGTGGTAAAGCATTTACTTCAAGGTCTTTTTTTGTATTTATGAATTTGAAATCCCTCAAGAACATCCAATTTTGATTTATAATTACAAAAATGTAAAAATTTAATATTGTTTTGTGATGTCATAACATGTTTATGTTCAATTAAATGTTTAGCATAGTTAGATTGGTTTATGTTGTGATGTTTATAACAACTTACGTGTTCTTTATACCTAATATCAAAATTTTTTATTGTTTGTCCTATATACAGGGTGTCCAAAAAAAACGGACAGGCAAATTGCGACGCTATGGCTGATATTTTTTAATAAGCAACAGCATGGTTGGATATAGCTTTAATATGACTATAATTTGAGTAATAAATAATTTTAGCCGTACTTCCGGTTTAACCGGAAATGGCCCCTACTTTCGATTTTCAAATGGAAGGTATATGGTTTCTATCTTAAAATTGAATTATCAATTCATTCTCAATACAACGATGTCTAATTTTTAATATTTTATGTAATAAACAAGCAATTAATCGCAAATGAAAAATAGCACTTAAGTAGGACGAACATTGTTTGAATATGATTATTCTAGTTATCCATGACAGGACAACACTACCTGATAAAGCCTCATTTACACAACACCGGCCGGCGCTGACCAGATGGGATTAGATTACATTTAAATACAAATGCTAGCCGGTGTCAATCGTAGTAATATAAACACTTGCATTTGAAAATGCATAAACAATGATGAATCATCGAAATATTATCTGATTCAATCCCGTCGGCGCCAGTCGGTGTAGTAGTGTGAATCAAGCTTTAAATGTCATCTTGACGGATAATGTAATTTTCAGTCAAGGATAACTACAGAATTAAAATTCAAATTCTCAAAATCGCCTACTAACGCGTAATTTTTCTTTTACGACTAATCGGTTATTCGTTGTGTAAAATAAAGAAAATTTGACATCGCTGTATTCAGAATGAATAGATAATTCAATTTTAGAATAGAAACCATATACCTTTCATTTGAAAATCGAAAGTAGGTGCCATTTCCGGTTAAACCGGAAGTGCGAGTAAAATTTTTTATTACTCAAATTGTAGACATAATAAGATCATATACAACTACGTTATACTACTTATTTAAAAATATGAGCCATAACGTCGCTATTTGCCTGTCCCTTTTTTTGGACACCCTGTATACTGCATTACAAGAGCTACAATTTAATTTATATATACCCGATTTTAAAAAATTATCTGTTTTATCTTTAGCATTGAAAAGAAATTTAAATGTATTTAAGTTAGTTTTGTATGCTATTTTATTTGTTTTTGTTTTCTGTATAATTTTTGCAATTTGTTCTGAAAGTTTCCCTAAATATGGAAGTGATATGTAGTTGATGTTTATTATCTATTATGTTACCAAAAATTCGTTAACCTAAAAGAATTAATTTAAGCTGTAAATGAGGAAATGTATTTCTTTGCTGTAATAATTTTGTTTTATCATTTTATATTGTTTTTTTAAACATCTTTACTTTTAATTCTTGTAAAGGTTTTTACGATAAACCATTTCGTCACATATTCCTTTGGAAACTATATTCGCTAAATGAGCAGTACTGTTATTTTTGAATTACGGTTTGTATTTTAAGAAACAAAATGTGATCCTAAAACTCATAATAGAATTGAAAAATAGTGATGCGTGCCAAAAAATTTATTCCTGCACAAATGATTGACACAAACAAATTCGTTTTGTGCTTCCAAAATGGCGTAAATTTGGCACGGAAACACGGTACCCAATATCTAAAAAATGGGTAGACGTGCCAAAAAACTTTTTTGTGCACAATCAAGTACAAACAAGGCACAAACAATTGACACAATAGAATTCGTTTGTGCTTCCAAAATGGCGTAAAGTTGGTTCGGGAACACGGTACATCATATCTGAAAGATGGTGGGACGTGCCAAAAAATTTTTTCGTGCACAATCAAGCACAAACAAAGTCCAAACGATTGACACATTAAAATTCGTTTGTGCTTCCAAAACGGCATGAAGTTGGCACGGAAACACGGAACCCCATATCTAAAAAATGGGCAGACGTGCCAAAAAACTTTTTTGTGCACAATCAAGCACAAACAAAGCACAAACGATTGACACAATAAAATTTGTTTGTGCTTCCAAAGTGGCGTGAAGTTGGCACGGAAACACGGTACCCCATATCTAAAAAATGAGCAGACGTGCCAAAAAACTTTTTAGTGCACAATCAAGCACAAACAAAGCACAAACGATTGACACAATAAAATTCGTTTGTGCTTCCAAAATGGCGTGAAGTTGGCACGGAAATACGGTACCCCATATCTAAAAAATGGGCAGACGTACCAAAAAACTTTTGTGTGCACAGTCAAGCACAAACAAGGCACAAACGATTGACATAATTAAGTTCGTTTGTGCTTCCAAAATGGCGTGAAGTTGGCACGGAAACACGGTACCTCATATCTAAAAAATGGTGGGACGTGCCAAAAAACTTTTTCGTGCACAATCACGCACAAACAAAGCACAAACGATTGGCACAAAAAAAATTGTTTGTGCTTCCAATGTCGTGCTAACTTCACGCACCTCCAAGCAGCGAATTAAGGTCTAGGTTATCGCCTACTACCAGAGCAAGAATTAAATGAACATGATAATTTCCACTGCCAGTTTGAATAAAAAGACCATCGTTTTCTAAAACTCTAATTTCTTCTATTAATGAATTTAGAGAAACATTGTTGACCCTATCTTTTGATTTTAGTAATAAAGCAACAAATATATTTTCAAGGGATGATTGGTGATGTTGCGGAATAGTTGGAAAGGTGTAATAAAATGCTGCTAAAGACTGTTCACCTGCATGGCTTCCAAGAGGGTTACTAATTTCGAAATCGTCATAGTATAGTATATACGGTATATACAATACATTGGGTTTAGCTTTCAGCAATTTGGATTTCCACAGTTCTCCATTGATAATATTTTGTATTTTGCTTTGGGTGGTTAATCTTTTTGTATTATTTAAAGTGTCTTTTAAGACATTTTCGAGTTCAAAAAATTTTTGGAATTGAAATCTTAAGGGCATCAACACACCCTTACATTTTTTTTCATCTAAAGATATTTCTGCATGTTGAACGATAGGCCCAATTTCGTTGTTAAACTGAAAAAGCACAGGATCGGCGTATAAATGTTTTTCTTTAATTACTTTCTCAAATTTATAAAATGATTTTATGTTTTTGAAGGGATCCTTGCAAAAATCTAATATATGTAACACTTCGTCTTGATTTCCACCTAACAAAATCACTTCAGAAATTTGGGTTAAAATCACAGAAATTAATTGGTTTGTAATATCTTTTATAATTACCTCAGCATCTTTTCTATTAAAATGCGGTTTACTATATAGGTTAGCTGCAAACGATAAAGCGCAGCTTTCAATAATTTTCTCTGCCAAACTAATGTCAAGTGATTTAGTATTATCGGTCGATGAGAGAAATTCAACATTGAGAAATTCTTGCTCTGGTATATTAAAGGGAACCGATTTATTCTGTTTAACACAAGAACTATTTTTAAAGTGTTTTTTAAAAGCTTTTAAACACTGAAAATTATGGGAACAGTCTATGCATTGAAAATCGTCCGTGGGTTTTAACTGATGAAAATATTTAAAATGTCAATCAATTGATCTAAATTAAAAGTCGACCCGGAATTATTTCCTTTGGATTGCACACATTTAAAACACTGATAATGATCCATTCTAAACTAAAGAAACAACTAAATACTTGAAATATGTATGATGCTTTATAACTATAGTGGCAACTAAATATCTTGCAATAGACATAATACATTTTCGCAAGGATTATCGTCCGGTAAATGTATTTCATAGAAATACTTTTGAATAAATATTCAAAACCCCTCTGCACTCTTTGGATACTTTAAATTTAAAACACTAAATAACTTAAATGTGCAGTCAAAAGCTGCTAAGAATTCCTCAAATTTATATTTAACACCATCAAAATAGACAAAATAGTCTTTAACCTCAAAAAAGGAATTTCCTATACCTATAATGAGTGGTTGAAGAGTATCACCTCTATTCAACAGCACGTTTCGTATTTCTTCCACTTTCACTTCAAAGTCATTATATGTTTGGACAAGAACGAAGAAAGCCTCTTGCGAGTCTTTAATCGTCGACTTGACTGCTACCTTTTTATTGTTTTCCTTATTATAGTGCTTAATCGTGGGTGGAATGAGTGCGTGCAGACCCAAAG